GACAGGTGGTGTGTGTCTTTGGTGTATATGGTATGTGTATTTTGAATGAATTTATGGTTTATTCATTTATTTATTTTTTTAATTTTTGAACCCTCCATTTTTTAAAAAAAAATTTTTGGGGGGGATAAGGGTGGGGTGGGGGTCTATTCGGTGCTCAACAAAATAGTAAATAACATCCCGTCGACGTTCTGTTGGTCTCGCTGTCTTGTTCTGTTTCGCTCTTGGGTTTGGGTTTTGGGGTTTGTTTGGGTGACGGGTTTCTATTACTTTAACGCCCTCCAAATTCAAAATAAAAGGCTGAAATTCCTCTATCATAGACACAAACTAAACAATTTCGTACGTGCTGCATCTGTATAAATTTTCGAGTTCCTTTCTTTTTTGCTTCAATGATAAGAACTCGGTCATTTCTTAAACCGAATGTACAACATTTCTTGAAGATTTTTAAACAACATTTTAAGTGATTGATAATCAATTTGCGAACAAACTAAAAGTTCCAATCATTTTCAATCTTCATTTGATCTCGAACGATTACATGCATTACCTTCTTTTTCATTGTGGGTGTGTTTTGTTTCAGCATCTCGGTGAAACTTTTTGTACACCTCCGGACTCGAACGGAGGAACGACTCCCGTCTGCAGACGATTTCGTCTCTGACGTCACAGTAGGATACACATCGATTCTAGAGCACTCCCTGGATTACTCGGAGAAAGTACGTATCGATCGTACCTGTTTCTCTGTTTCTCACTTCCACACCTGAAGAGGTCAGTGGCCTGAGCAGTCATCTACCTACAACTGGACACCCACACACACACGTCAGGGAAGCTGTCTCTTTCCACCAATCACAAGCTACCGTGTTGCTGTCGCGAGACCGCTTCCGGTTCTTGTTTGTGTCGCAGACGCGAATAGGAGTCGAATATTTTTTCCGCAGATTCGAGTAGCGCGGACGCCTTGGGTCGTCAAGGCTTCTTGGAAACTGTGAGCGAGTGCGTTGAACGAAAAAGGCGTAAATCCAAACAGTCAAGATGAGGCCCGAACAGCACGCCAAAATGGCGGCCGAGATGAAACAACGGTTGAAAGTTGAGGAGTTGGAGGAAAACATCGATGAGTTGGAAGACGTGGTGGAGGATGTGTTCCCCATCCTCATTCTCACCGTCTTCGTCGCCGTCCTTCTTCTCATCATTTTCCTCATCCGTCTGTACCTCCGCTGGTTCGCTCCCAACCCCAGTAAGAACAGGATGGATGGAAAGACGGTGCTTATCACAGGTATGTGCTCATTTGTTTGTTCTTGTGTATGTGTGTATGTATGTTTGTGTTTGTAAATGTGTATGTTTGTGTGCGTGTGCGTGTGCGTGTGTGTGTGTGTGTGTGTGTGTGTGTGTGTG